GCCGGACGCAACTTCAACGTAACGGTGAACGAAAAAGATAAGGAAAATATAGTGCAATTTCTTGCAACGAGAGTGCAAGTAACATCAAGAGTAAATTTGCATCAGATGCAAATAAAAGGCGAAAGTCGTACGTGAGTCTCGCGAAACAAAGGGTCACGTTTGTGATTCTAAAGTCGAGTACCCATGTGTTACGGAGGGCAGACAGTAGGGTCAAAGAACAAGTAGAAACAAGTAAAACGACCATTGTGTTTCGGGAAATTCGAAGGCGCTCGCTGGAAAAGAGAAAAATGAAATCTTTTGTCACCTCGTTTCCGGTCAGAAGGTTTCAAATGTAACGAGATGAACTGACTTGGAAGTCACGACTAACGCTGCGAAAAACGAGATAATTTTATGAAATTGCAAGACTTGCTTGTCTGAAGGAGTTGCTGACAGAAATAATGCGACAGCTTGTGCATAACGACGAGAATTTAGCGAAGATGGACGAATTTCCTGCAAAGATGCACGTTTACCAATTTTAGGCAGAAACTGTCTTATGTTCTGCTTGCAAGTTTATGAAATCCATCTAATTACTCAAATTTCAGTCAAATTATGTTATATCATGATTTCAAATTAATTCGGCACGTTTAGCATTACAATTTCTTAATTATTGTTTTAACTGAATTAATTTGTACACCTGATAATAATACTCCACTTATTTAAAAATTTTGTTTTACACTGCTATTATTTATTAATTACAAACACACACAGCTATGACGTTAAATATTCTGAAAATTATAAAAAATGGGAAAATAATTAACAAATTAATTACAAACTATTTTTCTAACGCTTCAAAATACTTATTTAGCTTTTCTCTAAATGTAAATTTAATGCTATACAATAGAAGTGCATCTAAATATGTCAGAAATGCAACTTCAATCGTTATGCGCTCAAAGAGAGTAATTAGCATAGAAATAGGTATTAGAAATGTTCATGGTTTGCCGTAGACGTCTGTTTTCTCATGGTATGTGTGTTCTAACGACGGTTACTGCGAGCTCCAAGGTACAATCTCACCTCATCGACGAGTTAAATTCGAGTTGGTAGTAGTTATCATTCAAAGACGGTTCTATCTCTATAGGTCTGAATTAGGGGCAGTGGAGTGTAATGAGGTATAAAACGAAGCTTTCTAATGTGCCATAAATTTACTCCTTCAGGAATAATATTGAATTCGCGTAACAATTGAAATTAGGAAATTGAAGTGGAAAACCAAAAATTATAGGTACCTAATTACACGATATTGAAACAAAAATGTATTATTTTTATCACTGAAGAAAATTGTCAAACTTCTTTAATTCGAATAATTAATTTTTAATCAAATTTAATTATCAATTACTCATATCTGAAAAATAAAGTAAAAAAATTTTCAATTTATTTTGGGATGGTGAATTTGCAGTTTTTAGATTGTATATTGTTTTTTGGAACACCCTACATTGTATTTGAAAATTATTGTATTTTTCGTGTACATGTTTGTGACATTAAATTCAAAGGATCTGAAAGAACAGGATGATTCAAGCGAATGGCATATTAAAAAAGTAATGCATAGAGGGCATGGGTCCAGATTGCATCTGACAGATCATCATGGAACCGGGGCTGCGCGTTTCCTTCCCGAAAGGAAGGTCGCATTTCCTTTCCACGGAACGGGGGAAAAAATACGAGCACTCTCGTACCTCCAAGAAGCTCTTTTCCACGAGGATGGTCCTCGCGACGCGACGAATCGCCCTGGCAAGCAATCTCACGAAATTGCACCGCGCGATTTCACGTCGTTTCACAGACGTTACCGTTCGTATTTCCGTTTTTCTCCCCCTTCCGGGTTCTTCGAAGGAAACGTAAAACAAAGCAACAATCAGAACGGTATCCAAACACCAGAAATTTGATCCATTTAATTTGAAGCTGAATTAACGAAAAAGAAATTTAATAACAAGGAAATAATTCAGAGCTTAAATTTTTTAATTAGCTACTATTATATTCGGTGTATAATGTAATAAAAAATTTCCTTTTAATTAAACAGTAATGGCATAATTAAATTGGAACATTTTTTAACGAGACTTTCATTTGAACGACAGATTAACTCGCCTCTCTCAATTAACGAGGCAGTTAATTACAATGAATTATTAGAGAAAATTTAATGTTCGTCGAAAGAAAATTGGAGGAAATATTTCACGGTAGAGGATGATTTCATTGGGTGGCGAGAGTCTATCAGCTTCGAAAGGTCCATCGATTTTTGTCCAGTCTTCTAAATATATGGTACCCCAGGAACGTTATCGTCCAAGTGGAATTTATGCTCGTTGAATGTAAAACGAAGCAACCTAGTTCCGCTGTCGAACTTGCAGTTTTCGAATGATCAATTTTTTCCAATTTTCATCATAATACAGAGTTTCACGTATATCCGAATAGTAGAATGGAAGACATATTGCATTCTGAAAGGTACAATTTCCAATTCATCGGTCTTACAAAATACGGAATACTTCATCAAATTTTTATGGAAACTTTTGAAATATAAGAATTGTAGTATTATAAGGAAATATAGAGGTGATCTGTTTGAAAATAAACAGGTGTACACTCACGCTGTCCCCTCCCCCTGCAGGCTTTCCATAGGTTTCCGGATTCTACGTTCCCTTCGAAGGCTTTCCCGGGTTCCCAGGTTTCCAGGTTCCTGGTTCTACCCGTAGACTTTCCCTTCCCTGTATTCCTGCTCTACCTTATAGGTGGCCGAAGGGTGAGTGACGATCTAGGGAAGAGGGTCCCATATGTCTGTGAGCCCCCCCCACTTATTATTCATATTTCTTAAGTTTTATAATTAATAATTAAAAATCATATTATTTTGTTTAGTACATTATTTTTAATATTAATAAAGTTAAAATTAAAATTTTGAAATGTCATGTTTTTTCTACTATATTGCCAATTTCCCAGAGAAGCCCTATCAATAGATCATGCCTTTTTAGCAACCCAAAGACAATTTATAAAATTTATTATTTTTCAGAAGGATATATATTTCCTCCCATGGCTGCTCGATAATCACGATCATCGATCAAGCACAGAATTAATAACTGATCTTCGATATTAGAACACTGCACCTACAGCGCGCGATTGTAACAAATAGCTATTGATCGTTCCAGCAGGATCTAGTTTTCCTGGCAATTTTTCCAACGACAGAGAAAGATGTCCAGCCTTTAACCCATTGTTCTCCTTCGTTCTTTTTCGAAAAAAAAGTAGGCCCAGTGGGGATTAAAACCGAGCGTTCGCGATATATGCACTGGGTTAGATTACGAGTAAGTATGCTATTTACTGACTTCATTTGCTCCCATGCATTCTTGTGGCTTATACAAACAGAATTCTGTATAATTTTCCTCCTGTAAATACATTTATAAACTTTGAATTTGAATTAATTTTAATTTTAAATCATGCCGCTGAATTTTAATAAAGTTTCATTTTTGACAAGAGATAATATGTTCGTTATTTTATAAATATTTGATTTTTTGAATTACCACCGTGTTCCACATTCATTTTTACTGGAAATAAAATTGGCACTTCCAGGGGTTGATAACACATGACACGAATATTATCGCGGATTCAGTGGAATGAAACTTTTACATCATTAACATTTATAAACGCAATTTTGACACGGCATTGAAAAGCCGATAACAAATTTTCGAATGTTTCGCTTGTGTCATGTTCAACCATGAACATGGATTTTGGTTTAATTTGAAACGCTGCTCATATTGCTGTGTCCTGAATTTGACGCAATGTCGATTCGTCAATATTTATTATTATTTATTAAACATAGTTTTAAAGACGCAGGAAAAATCAATAATATTTTTTCATAGAACGCAGGTGTACTCGCAATATCCCTTCGATCAATATTCACCCTAGAAAGTTCTTAATTACCCTTCTAATTATATACAATCCTGTACATTTTCAAAATACCCACACAAAAACAGTAGGTATTGATTTAGTAGAGGAAATAAAAAAGAGCTAATAAATTTTATGTTCACGAATAAAAATAAAAGCAAGAAGAAGTCGAATAATATACTTTAACGTTGATATCGGTGATAATTAACATAATTTCAGGATTATCAATTAGAAATAAACACACGTCTCAATGGCCATATCGTTTTCCTAGCGTGTTTCCGCGGGTAAATATCACAAACACGGGGATACGACCTCGTGAAAACTAAAGTCGTAAAATTATACGAATCCACCCCTCCGCCTCTTTCTGGTCCATTTCGCGGTTCGTTGCTTCGCAGAGATGTACACCATCGCTCAAAAGTACCTGCCCATTGTTCAGCGTATATAATGGTATGAAAATATTAAGTAGACGTGGGATCATTTATTATAATATAGCAATGCAGGTATCGTAAAACTAACCGACAGCACTCATATTCATTTCTAACTTGAAAAATCATCAACATTTGTTAAATAAGTTCGATTAGTATAAAAACATAATCGTTTAGAAGATGTTATTTCAAATATTCAACCTGATTAATTACGAAGGCGAAGGAGTGCCAAAATCTTATGATATAATTAGTTTTGAAATCTTCTTTCAAACTTTAGCAGGCTTCTGCACTAGCCATTATGCAACCAATATAATGCGACCTGGTGTGCCGATACATCTCTTGAATAAGATAAGGAGTAAATGGGCAAATATTTTCGAGCCTCAGTGTACGTATATGTACCCATCAAATAAGAGAGAAAGGGGCACGTTCACCAATTTCAACTTCCCTGGAGGAAACCGAAGATGCAGAAGGGGTAGCGTGTTCGAACGGCTCGGTAAAGTTGTTTGGCCGAAAGTATGGGGAACTCGGTCGTGTGCATCGATCGGGCCTCTAACGAGCTCCTACTAACTACTTCCAAAGCAAGATCGTTGCCATGGACGGCCCTGTTTGAATTTTGGTTTTTACCGTGCAAAAACCGACGGCAACACGGTGCAGGATGGGGTGTGGTGAAAATTTATGAAATAAACTTACCCTTGCCTTCGGCGTCTGCTTCAGTCCGATAGCTGGCTGGCTTCTGTTGCTCTGAAACAATAATTGAGGACATTCAGGTTAAATTGTTAAATTAATTAACACGGTCGACGACATTAGGATAAATGGGTAATATTAATATTTTGTGGCTGTGGCTTCAAGGAAGATATTCTATGATGGAGTAACTTAAAACTTAATTACACATCAAGTAATTTGGTATTTTCGTTAATTAGATAAAGCCGTATTTATTGATGTCTGTAAAAACATGTTATCTAGTATTATAAATAAAAAATTGATACATATCTAGAAATTAGCAGTGCTATGAGAAAATGAGAATATAAAATCATAAATTGTGTTCGACGTTGATAGGAAACTAAAAGGCGCCTTTGAGACATGCGGTTGATAACTTTGGTAGTAAAAGCCCGATGTCATAAAGTCGGATTTAGCCGAGAAAGAGGAAGGCCCGGCATAAAATCTTCTACGAGATTTTCTTGAGATTAGCATCATGTACCCGTGGGCGATGGTCTGATTTTATGGTAAACTAAAACCGCTTCGGTGGTTTCGATAAATTAGCACCTGGTCTTACGACCAATCCATTTGCAACTTTTATAGTAAATACGATATACGCTTCAACGTAATGAATACGAAATCGAAATCACCTTTGAAGCATCACTGGATACTCTTTGCGAGAGGTTTTATAGATGAAAGTTAAATAATTCTGCTAGCGTGTAAAAACGTTTTGAGAGCGATATTTAGATGGTAAAAAAAAATATTTCTCATGCGTCCATGGAGAAATGCATCGCTATCGCATCATTTTATGGCATTCAGAATGTTATTTGCCTGCAGCGAATAAATCCGTTCCAGAAGGGCATCCGTTCGATGCGATATCGGCTGGCCATAGGAACAAACGATAAAACGATAAATTTACGGAAACTGTCCAACCATGCTGTATCGCAGTGTCGGGCCGTCATTGCTAGGAGCGCGTAAATCTTAATTGGCCAATCGTAACGAAGTAGAACCCCATAGAGTTAACTAACAACTATGAAAAACTGAATGGGAAAACTTGTATCCGTCTGATGAAGTACGAACTTAAGCATCGTTGGAAATCGAAGGCTGATTTTAATACGGTGTTCGTTCAATGTACAGGTTAATTAAAATAATTTCACGACGATTTTAATTAACGCAGGAATTGATTATTCAATAACTTTTTATCATTCCTTTTTGTCACAATTCAGTTTTTCAATAGGCGTATTGGTGTTTAAGAGACGTTTACTATTACGATATTCGTTTCTGTTAATCTGCAGCGATTAGAGATAAGGTTACCTGTTATTCTATTTGAATTTCAATTGATTCCCAAACTAACACCAAACAGAATATCGGTTAGAATGTGATAGAAACGTAACAGCGAAGATTGACAGGTAGCTTGACATGCTTTAGGGTAGTTCAAAGTCGCTAACGAGTACTATGTTCAGAAACAACGAATGTAGTGCAATGGTGCTAATTAAGCGGTTTATCTCGATTAATTCCGGATAATTGCGTCTGGTAATTAGTTCAATTACTCTGATGGTTCAGCATAGTGCGAGGAACACTTGTCCTCGACACGTTCCCATTGGTCGAATTGTTGCAAATTCAACCACAACAATTGTTATCTTCAAAGCTCGACTCTGCATTTCCCATTCTCATTTAGTAAATTACTTTAAACGGGATTTATAATTGTTATAAGCACGGCATACGCTTTTTAAAAACGCATACTATATGCACCATGTAATTTTTACTTCATATTTTGGTGTCTATTATAATGTAGAATTTTATTAGAGATGGGGATAAGATAATTAACACATAGATTATTTATTGTGCATATAGCAACATTTGTTAAGGAATATTATTTACCAACTTAGATACATGAAAATTTATATTCATTAATGTAAAGAGAATTGTGATAGAATTATAATTTATAATCCTTTAATTATTATTTAGTTATTATATTATATAACATTCCAATTATTTTTCATATTCATTTTATTGTATTTACATTTCAAATACGTGAAAATAGCGCGCGCCTAGCAGTTATTTCAACGAACGCCTCTGATTGGCCAGCGACTTATTCGTGCTTTTATAGTCGCGTGGTAGCGTCATTAATATCAAGCCGGCGAAAGTGCTCTTCGTTTCCGTATATTTTCTGGTGTCTTTCAAGTATTTTACAAGGAAATAATGTCGTAGTTTGTGTTGTGACACTGTATTAAACGCTGCTTCTTATCGGACAGGTGAGTTTCGATGCTATCCAAATATTTTGAACGTTTAATGAGCTCGTTCAGTCTCGCACGAACTCCCCGGTGTGTAGTACACTACATAATGTTTATGGTGTTCTTCGTTGAGGTTAAAAGTATATTTCACTTTCCATTATTAATAATTTTGTCATGAGAATTGTTTAACTTATAATGTTGCACATTTTTCGTGACAAATATTCTTTTAAGAAGGTTATAATACTATTGCGTCGTATTCGTGAAGGTCGTTGACCTTCGTATGAAGGTCGTCATACATTTGAGTATGTTCTTCAATAATTTGATCATTAGTCAATAATGTGAACATTATTATTTAAGTTGATTCATAGTATTAAATTGTCATAATAAATACTATATTAATAGTAAATATTATATTATCTGAAGGAAATGTTCAAATTAGGTTTTTACGAATCCTTAATAACAACGCCATCTGGTAACCCTTTTTTGAGGTTATACATATTGCTCACTATAATACCTAATATAGCTTGTTTAATTGTGATTCAAATTCTTTTTGTATTGACAGTGATAAATGATACTGATTTTGTTTATAGATTTTAATTGTGACCACTGCAATTTGTATCATGGATGTGGGGCCTCGACTACATCAGTATTAGGTAAGTACTCATTGAATTAACTGATTATTATTATGCAATCATTAAAGCTACAATTACTCAGAAAGAATATTTTCTTAAAAGTAAAAGTGAGCATAATATTATCAAGATTTTGTTTCAATAATTAATAATTTAACTTCTATTTATGTTAAATAATATATATCAAATCTTATAACCAATTTTTTAATTAAAATAGTGGAAGGTCCCCTCAAATCAAGTTTAACCTATTTGGCTACACTTGGCTTTTGAACCAAAAATTTGTGGTCCCCTAAAACTAAGTGCAGCCAAATATAATTATGTTAAAATTAAAATAAAGAATTATTTAGGATTTAATTAATTTCCATGATAAAATGGAAAATATTCTTTAGAGATGCATGTTGAAAGAAATTCTTTTTTAAGCATCAAATAATTCGTTTATCATGAAAGATATCGGTGTAGTCAGGAATCATTAAACACTAATGAATCCTTCGACTTCGTCGTCTTAATAGCGATAGGGAGTGCTCGGCACATTATGATAGTACATTAAGGGATAGATAAGCTGTAACTTAAGTTCGGTGTATTCGCGAAATGATTATCGTCGGTCGTCGTAAAGGGAAGAAACTATAGGCACATATAATTCTAATGATCGATAGAGAGAAGACTAGTTAATATTAGGTAGCTCTAGGATCAATAGATACCTCTATTGATTAATTAAACGAGTATTTTCTAATTGATTTTCCAACAAACTATTTTTATACTTCTCCAAATAACATGTCATTTAATTACGATATTACTGTTTTTAATAATTTATTTTTAAACGAAATCCAGAACCTTATAGAAGTGATCAGAATTCAAATCCATAAATCAAAAGAATGGTTATAAACAATTTTAATAACATTCTATAAGTTAGGAAAGCATCTTCCAGAATTTATTAGTTTATTTTCATTATTTCCATTCACGGAAGTTTGTCCGCGAGCGAAATTCACAGAGGCACGGAATTAATTTAAACTACTGATCGTCAAAATTGCACTAAAACGTAGGAAAACAATTTCAATTTTAATTTCCACGAGCGAACCGCTCGAAATTCGTAATCCCTTCCGAAATATCAACCGTCCGTGTCTCGATTCTCGTTAAACAACACAACAATCATACGCTTTTGCTGAAACAAATCCAATAAAATCTCGTTTGCGAACGTAATCTCGCAAAGATTCGCAGAATTCGTTAGAGAGGAAGAGAAGACCAGAGGACAAAAATTTCCGCGGTATAAAAAACGCGTGCAATCCAGCGGCATCGGGCTCGCAGGGTGCAATCGTTCCGGAAGTTTAATCAAACTTTGCTGTTTCTTGCTCGAACGCTTCGCGTCGAATTTGGCAGCGACACCAGCCCTTTGGTCACTGTATTCGTAACTACTCGAAGTTTTCTATCGGATTGTCTCGGTGCTCGGCCAAACGGATGATATTCGGGGAACGACTCGACCCAGTTTCGATAATTGCACACCGTTCCGATCCCTTTAAATCGCTCCGATTCTTCGTCTGTTTTGCTCTGGTTCCCTCCTCCTTTGGCGTTTTATCAGCCGCTTAATCGGCGAAATCCGGGCCGCATCCACGGATCGCAAGAACAAACAATTACCGTTGGGATTTCGACGAAAAAATACGATCTCCGCGAGAATTCGATGCTCTTAGAGGTCCGTTTCTTTTCCTCCACCTCTCGATCAACGGACACATTTGGCGAAAGTTTCTCAACGAACGGTGCAGTCAATTTTTTGGAGTACGAGTTTCATTAGTATCTGACGAGTAATTTAGATTTCTTTTTAAGATAGAAAATTACTAACAAACTGGAATATGATTTTAATTCCAGGAAATTTGAAATATGTAATATTTATTTTGCATATTTAAAATTGTAAAATTCAGTAGTAGAAAAAAATTAATTTAGAAAAATAAGGCAGTGTTATCCAAATTATTTGTAATAATCATTCAAATACAATTTTATTCAAAAATTATTCTTTCATTACATAATTGTAATTGAATTACTCTGCCTAATTTCTTTATGAAATTTGTGACTACTGCTCTTTGTAATTTCTATGGTTACTTAGGCGAGAGTTAATTATCTATCCCTGAAACTTCATTTCGATAATGTAATCAAGTTCCTTTCGATAACAGAGGAAATTGTAATAATTAGAATT